CAGAGGAGTTTTGATGGCGACCTGCGGCGATGGACGATCATGGGCCGAGGAAAGGGAACGGCGGGAGCGGTGACAAGTTGAAGCAGACAGTGCTAGGGGACGCCGCCAAAACCAACTCCCGCCGGGGAATCGCCGCAGCGTCGTGACCGGCGAAGATGGGGAGGATGAGGTGGAAAGGAAGAAGGAGACGTGAGGCTGTGGCGGGGTGGATCAGTCGAGGTCTTATCGTTTGGGTGGGTTGGGTTAGGGTAAATTTTTTTAATTAACATTTTGAATTTGTTTATTATTAATTTTGATGATGTGGAATGCTGATTAGGCAAGGGAGACGGAAATTTGGACGGAGAGTGACGGAATTACCATTTTGATATTTGCTCAAATGTTTGTTACCAATTTTTTACAAATCAAAGATTTGTGACCGTTTTGTACTAAGTGTAAAGGTTTGTGATCTTTTGTGTTAATTACCCAATGGAATTCTCCAGCATATCTTCCAACAATGGAATATATATATATTTGTCTTCACTATGTCTTTTCTCTGACTCGAAGACATATCGCAGCCAAATCTTGAATGCAAAATTTCCGTTTACAATTTTACCATTTACAGTAGGTTCTTTATGGGAGCTGGAAAACACATATTGTCAATGTCATATTCAGACTTCAATTTGAGTGAGGTCCTGAGTGAGTGACATACATGGAAGCACAGGTGAAAGATAGTATATATACAGGTAAAATACCTCGTGTGCCACTTAAGTTTGAAAATTGGGGTCGTCATATCACTTAAGTTTGAATAGGGCGTCGGGTACCACTGAACTCTATTATATGTGCACCCGGTACCACTTAAGTTTACTCCTAAGTTCATTCCGTTAAAGTTGACAGAATATTCTTGGAATATTCTATTTTCTAAATTTCATAATTGGTCCTTCTACTTTTTTATTGTAAAAAAATAATTTGGACTTAAAAAAACATCATTTTTTATTGGTTAGTTGGAATCCTTTTTTGAATATTTGATACCAAATCAAGAAAATTTAGAATCAATTATCATTATAATTATTTTCAATTATTATTATGTGTTGTAATAATTTAATTATTCCATGCATGTTGTAACTAAACAATGTTGTAGCTTATATAGTCATATTTTCTTTTCTATATTTTTTACCGAATGTTGTAGCTTTTATATTTTATTTGTTACTTGGTTACTTTTCATTTCTTTTTTTTTCTAATTTTTTCAATTAGAGGAATATGTTTAATTCTTTCTTATTGTGTGCCAGTTATCCTTCTTTTATTTTGATATATTGATAATCAATTAGGTTCTATTTTAATTATTTCTAATGGTGCTTCTAATTGAATTAGGGGTTTAAATAGATTTTCTAATATTAATTTTAAATATTTATTATTATTCTCTAGTATATTTATTATTATTCTTGATATTAATTTACTATATTTACTAACTTATCTATTTTATTAAAAATAATTATGAATCATTCTAGTAATAATATATTTAGAAGGTTTTCTAATTATTATATTAGCTAAAACTTGTTGAAATATAGTTTTGGATGTTTTTAAAATTTTCGGGTATTAAAAAGTAATTAAAATTTTGGGTTGGATGGAAAAGTAGACGGATGCACATTTTGGCGACTTTAATGGTACCCGACGCCTTATTCAAACATAAATGGTATGTCTACCCCAATTCTAAACTTAAGTGACACCTAAGGTATTTTACCCTATATATACATAAGCAGCTGTTAATATATTGAGTAAAATCATTCACTTGGGTTTCTGATTTTATTCACAGTAAACATTTGAGCATTTTCAGCTCATAATTGTCCCCAAGTGAGGTCCTAGGACCCAAATCCCTTGGCATTGGCTTTGCTGGTACATTTTGCTGTCTTTTCATTGACAACCACCTTTTTTATGTTTCATTTCCTTTGGATTTATGTTACCGCTTTTTTTTATTTTTTTATTTTCATTGTCGAAATTTTGAAGTTAATTAGTCCACTTTCTTATCTATTTTTTTTATCATAAACTGTTTGATTCCAATTACTAAAATTGTTAAGGAAAAATTAACTATGCATTCTATAACATAGATTGGTAATATGGAAAATTGAACATAGATTGGTAATATGAAAATACTATCTGAACAAGTTATTTGATTGTTACAAGTAAAAATCAACAAGCTTTACGAGAAACACTGATAGAAATTACAAATTAGGGACTCAACATCTGGCGAAGATCCAGGAATACATGCAATTGGAGACTAATTGTCACATATCACTTGTGGGACGGTCAATTGTTCCTTAACATGTATTTCCTTTGATGCTTAATTTTCACCAATCGCTCTCTCGTTCATTGTACATTTCATTGCTGCAAAAAAAAAAAAAAAAAAAAACTTACTTGGTTAGAGTGAAAAAAGAAAATAGAACAATATCAATAATTGATTAGCAGGGACTATAAGAAAGCAATCACACATGGTCATCGAAAATAAAAGATTAGCAGGGGAGGGAAAGGAATAACACCAAAGCATAATTAGAGCAATAACTATATAATCTGAATTCTCTACCAGTCGCACATATCATTTGTCAGACAACATGAACTATATGAAAGCATTAACACATGGTCTCTGAAAAATAAAATATTAGCAGAGAAGGGAAGGAATAATATCAAAGCAGGAACTAGAACAACTGGACCGATCGAGCTGAGAAGAATCACAGTACGTCTAATTGAGAGAGATTAACTTACAAACAGATTTAATGAAGAAATCAGCGTTGGGCAGCTTTTCTACCCTCTGTAGGTCAGCCGACGGCAGCTTTTGAGTTTGAAGGGATCAATGAACAAAAGAATTTGTAGGGATTGCATAAATATTTTGGGTTTATCTAAAGAAGGAAATCAAGAGAAAATTATATTTTCGCCTCCAAAGCCACAAAAAAAGGCCGCCGAAAACTTTTGGGAAATCGAAAGGGAAAGGGTAGCTGAAATTTAAAATTTTTTGCCTACAAGGCCCGCCGAGAAAGAGGCTGAGGGTTAATGAGAATTGGAAAATAAATATACAAATAGTGTTTAATTTGCGGTTAAAACTCTCCATTTTCATACTATTTTGAAATCATTTTATTTTTCATCTAATTAATTAATCTCGTATTAAATACATATAAAACTCATATAATACATTTAATCTTCATATTTAATAAATTAAATTAATATAAAATATTAAACATACCTTTAGTTTAGATAGGAAATAAAATTGCTATAAGTACTTTGTACATGATAAACTTACCAATGAAAATACTAATTCAAAAATAAAAAGATTGTCAACAACCAATCAACCATCCGTTACACGTTCCCGGATTAAATAGAAATCTCACTCCAAGATTGAGTAGGAAAAGGTTAAAGTACTACAGTAGAATTTTTTTTGGGGAAAAACAAATCCCCCATAATTCGCCAGTAGAAAAAAGAACTGAATCGCTAAATGTCGCCCTTAAAATTGCTAACGGTCGCCCTAACTCTAATGATAAATGACTTATATACCCTTAATAAAATTTCAAAATTTAAACAAGCCAAACAATCCCTAATCCCTCAAACTGAACCTCTCATCTGCCTTCTTCGCGAATCCCTCTCGACGCACCAGTTCGTCGACATCTTTCCCGCCGTCGGCGTCGCCCGTTCTCTAACGAAATTTCCAAAAAACGCTCAACCTAAGGCAAGTTACGGTTGGTCCATGGTGCAACCGCAACTCACTTGCGGTTGGTCCATGGTGCAACCGCAAGTGAGCTACGGTTGGCCCATGGTGGAACCGCAAGTGAGCTGGGGTTGCACCATGGACCAACCGCAACTCATTGTTTTTTTTTTTCAATTTTTTGAGTGAACTTTATCGATTCAGAGTCGCTAGTCATGCTCCAGACATCATATCGATGATTCCAACTCCAGAATGACGATGATGGATTCTCTCTTTTGAATAATGTTTTATTTTTTTATTAAGTTGTGTTTGTTTGCTAAAGGAAGAGTAAAGAAGCTAAAAGGTTAAATTTGTAACTTTGATGTTTTTTAGGGCGACATTTAGCAATTTTAAGGGCGACCTTTAGCAACTCCCAAAAAGAATCCTCAGTGGAAAAAATTTCACCGCCAATTAATATTTCCGCTCGAGTATTTTTGGGGACGACTAAACTAAGTAAATTAATAAAATCATATTCCTTATTTTATGGAGACAAGTTAGTTTGTTCGTCCCTAATAAAACTTAGAAATCTATTTCCCGAGACAACATTAAACAGTCGTTCCCAAGACTGGTCCCCAAATATCCTCTTTTTTGTAGTGTTACAAGTAAAAATCAACAAGCTTTACGAGAAACACTGATAGAAATTACAAATTAGGGACTCAACATCTGGCGAAGATCCAGGAATACATGCAATTGTACCCAGAAAACAGGTACCTCTCTCTTTTCTCGGGGATGGTTGGCTAATCAGTCACCATTTTCATCTCTCCATTGATACAGCCGATAGGGAGGAGATTAAATAATCAAATTTTAGCAAACGAACGATAAAGTGTGAATTAACAAGATGCAATTACTCTTTTTACCTACAAAACCGCATATATAGCTCCCTAAATCTGAATTTCGAACTAATGGATGAAATTTATGTAGACATGCTCCAAGGGCTTAATTAGCCCCACGTACTTAATGATAACACGAACCATCAATTGTATTACCAAAAATTTCAATATTATAATAAATGTTACTAGCTAGTCAGTCCAAAAAAAATTGACTCAGATGAGCAGCTAACAAACACATTATACATCAAGACTTTTCTCACTACATTCCATCAAGGCAAAGCCAAGGGCCACACACTAACAAATAAACAACACACGCATTAATTATTCTCATACAGATGTGCCAAGTCTAGTCGACATGTATCTATATGCAATACACACGTACACATTTCCTTCTCTATCCAAAAAAGGAAACAAAAAGCCATCAACAAAGTCAACACCACGATCAAACCGGTTTGAACATTGGTTAATTAGGAATCCCAAATGGGTCCAAACGCTGGGATTCCTGCACCCTTGCAAGCATCGACAACGTCTCTACTCCCTTCCGGATTGCTGGTCACAATCACCACCTCAGCCCGCCACTTCTTTGCCATCTCCACGCTCATTTGGGACACGCTGGGACGTCCCATCAAAGCGGTGTCGTGTACGATCACCTTGTCCTTCGGATGCCTACTCATCATCTCCATAATCTCCTGACCAAAATTCTGTTCGATTCCCTTCGCCACCCAAACCACGCAGACGTCGGCTCGACATGGCTGCAAGAGGAACGACAAGAACACGCAGATCCCCGACCCAGTCGCCACCAACAGAACCCGATCGTACAAGTTCACCAAATACGGCAGCCCAGCGAAGTGCACCCCTCGAACCCACAAGTGGCTCGGCGGGTTCGAGACCAGCGACTTGGTGAAGTCACCCACCGCGCCACAGAGCATCATGTGATCGATCTTTCCATCTGAGATGATCCCAAAGGAATGCCACTCGGACAACGGGGACGGGCTGATTCGACCCAGAATCCCCGGTTTAACCCCTCCCGCGAACTTGACGATGGAGGCATGGCCCGATGGAGACGACGTCGTGACGGCCACTCTTCTCACCGTTAACCACGGGATTATGATCAGCACGGTGATGGCGAATGTGAACCAAAATTCTACCGAATTGGCCAACTTGATAGCAACGTCGTTTGAATACGTCGCCGTTTCTGAATCGTACGAGGTTGTCAGGACCACAAAGGCCCAGAGAAGCCCGAGGGCGGCCCACCCGGCGAACCTATGGATCCGCTCGAACAAGTTGTGATGTAAATGCCTGACGAGAGGAAACGCGGCGAGGCACGACAATGAGATCAGCGAGAGGATCGAGGAGGCAACTACGACGATCTCCGGGGACGTGTTCGCACGGTCGTTAAGATTGAGGACCAAACTGTAAATAAGCCACGCAACGGAAGAAACCCCACACCCACTGTGGATCCCACCGAGGCTCTGGAGGAGTGACGTGGCGGCCGTCTTGATCCAGATCGGAACCCACGACCGGCCCAATAGCCTCACCGCGGCCCAAAACACGACCCGGAGAAAGGCCTCGCTCCGACAGAGCGTGAGAACGAAGATATTGGCGATCGAGAACATAGCGGCCTTGTCTCTGCCGTAAGTGAAACGGCCCGTAGCGGCCAGCACCAATCCGACGACGTTTAGAGTGAAGCAAGCCAAGAAGAGCCTCTTGTAGACCGTGAACAAGCCTTGGTCCAGCAGTATAACCGAGAGCCGCGAAGAAGTTTGTTTTTTCGTCTTGCCGAGAGCGCGAGGCAGATCGTCGTCGTCGGTTTTGCCCTGTTCCATATTGGAGAGGGTGACGTCGACGACGACTTCATCGGCCTCGATGTAATCGTTTGGATCGTCATCTACGTCGAGGTCGCAGAAGTGGCTGCTGCTAGCCACGCTGAGTGAGCGTTGGATGATGTCGCCCGGGCCCACTTTGGAGGAGCGGCCGCCAGTACCCTGATGGATCCATGAGGAAACGGAGAAGCGCCTTCCGTCCGGCGGTATAGGGCCATCGTCGTTGGCTTGTTGGTGTATCGTGGGTTTGGGGATGGCGAATGGATCGTCGTGCGGCTTGATCTCGAACGCAACTCCTCTGCAGCTTGAAAATCTGATGGGTTGCCCTTTCATCATTTTTCTATTTTTTGGTTTTTTTTTTTTTGGAGATAAGATTGAGATTATTAACAGAAAGAAAGGTGCCTGAGGAGGAGGAGGAGGGATTATTAACTGAACTAGAAGGGGGAGAGTGACAGACTGGTAAAGCTTATACAAGGAAAGGAGAAGGGGTTTGGGATTAGAGAGGATAAGTAGTAGCAGTGATGTGTGGTTCCTAGATGGAAGCGGCAGCTTCGGCTATTTATAGCCATTTTACTTGGCAATTTTCCAACTGTGTGTGTGTTTTTCTCTTTTCCTCATTTAATTTGTAACAAACTATTTTATTGCACCGAATTTGTGTAAGAAACATAATAGAGGCACCCGGCGTCCTCGAATATTCTTGCCGTACTCATCATTTTGTACGTGTATGTAATGGCCGGAACCCACATCTCCGACTCCAAGTATATATAATATATCTGTTGTCGTCACCTTAACCGGCGATGAGGAAAGGGAGTTATTTTATTTTAGTACAAAAGTTGGTTTTTTGGATAGTTATTGTTGCTCCCAGGTCAAATGTTAGACGGAAATGAATGACCTCTGTAGTAACTTCAGAAAAAAAAAATTCTATAGTACGTTGATAGTTGAGACTTCTGTAAAGTCATTCACATAGTGAGAGGTATTGTGAGTTAGGATTGTTTGAATTTAATGGCATTTTTGTTTTTGCTTGACAGAGTATTTTCCTAATTGTAACGATTGTTGATGGGTAGCTATGTGTGATGTACATGAGTGAAGCATTGCGATTAAAGTTTAATTTTGCTTATGCGAAACAGTTACGGGTATATATAGTGAGTTGCACATATTTCTGAAAAATCAGAGTATTAAGTGGTAATAAATCGGTAAAGTAATCTACAAAATGTAATAGTGAAATATGACAACTGTGTCTTTCATTTCAAAATTTCTATAGTGAGAGTGAAAATAGGAAGAGTATTTTTGTTTTCGCAATCATCTATTTCTTTCTTATTTATTCATAAAAAACAGAATGACACTAAGATTTGAACCAAGGTCACTATAAATAAAGACAAAAGTCATAACTTATCACACTATATATTTTGTTGTATCTCTTTAAATAAAAAGCATACACGAACCCAATAAATGTTCACTAAGGATACTTTGATTTGTACATTTTGATTATTTTAATTGTAGTTTAATATTGAATTTAAATTTCTGTCTATCTTATCACACTATATTTTTTTGCCTCCACAGCAATTCTCAGAAGGGTATTTAGGGAAGCTGTTTTCTGACGTCTTGCAGAACGCGGAAGTACAATCGTCAAGCAGAGTTAACATGCCCAAATCACCGTCCTGACCCACTACCAGCACATCCATTGCTGCTTTCCAAAGCTCCGCATCAGAATTTTCCGACCTTCAATCTCCACAACCACAAACCTACTTCCCTATAATTGACAAAAGTGCGACACGAAACACTAGAAGCTACGATGTTTCTTCTTCAATCGCATTCCATCAGGTACTTGCATCGACGATCATGAAGCAACTACACCGGCTTTTTTCGCCATAGTTCCCTGTCTCCGATTGCTGAAATCGAAGGGGTTAGAAGAATGACTCGTTCCGAATATCACAATAAAAACCTCAATTAAGGCCCAAGTATAAACCTTAACCAGGTGCAATATAGGGCAAGTATGTTTAAATATCAACCCGGGTCGGACCATGTACCCCCTACTTCGATTGTTTGAAACATTATCTAGCGACTAGTTTTTGGTGAAAACAACAATCTATAACTAAAACGTTTGGAAAGGTAAATTGATTTGATACTAATTGAGAAGGCTTCACCAGGGTGTTTCTCCCCCTAGCTAGCAATTATGACTTGTCGGATCGAATGAAAACGTGTGGTAAGGCGGTTGTAAACATTAGGTAAGTGCAACAAGTGAACAAACGCCACTCTCTCGATCAATAGGTCATGGGAATTCGATTCAAGCTACCAAAGTAGCTCACTTGACCTATTGACTAAGGGTTGCCAAGACTTCACCCTCGAATCAGAGTTCGGACGGCAAAATTACAACCAACCCTAGGTGCTAATATGAATTAAGAGGTTTGCCCGAGTTTAATCTAAGTAGGAGGCAAAGATTACCCAAGGAAATCCAGCTTTTACAAGCCTCTTCAAAAGAAGGGGATTTTCCTCTACCTAGGTTAAGATAGCATAAGACATTGAAATGCACAAACACAATCAACCTTCATGAAAATACCTCATAACATTGTATTAAAACATACCCTTACACAAATCATTCAATCCATACAAAGATTCACGTAATTGTAGCTAGGTTTACAAACACCCAAGTGAAATAAGGAGAAGGGAAAACACAAGGGAGAAGAAGGAAATACATCATGGATTTGCTAGCCTTGCTCCTTGTGTTGAAGAGATCCTCCTTTGGGGAAGGAATTCCCAAAACCTTTCTTGAAGATGAACCCTAACTTCTTCTCTTCTTTGGTTCGTCACTTTCTCGGACTAGAAATCTGAAGAAGAAGAAGAAGAAGAAGAAGAAGAAGAAGTTTCTCACACTAGGTCTCTCCCCCCTTTTCCCCTCAACTTAGCCCTCCTTTTATACCCAGGTTGGGGTCAGTTCACAGTCCCAGTTCAAGGCCGTGAACATTCCTCTTGGACCGTGATGTCGAGAGGATACGCACCATTTCATTTAGTCTGTTCAAGATCTGGGTATAGACAATGAACTGACTGGGAGCCTGCGAGGTGTGCAAATTCTCCTCGACCCTTGGCGCTTCACAGGCTGGGAGCCCTTTTCACGATCCTAAAACCGAGAAAAATCATCATTGGCCGTGATCCTCAGCTGCTTCCACCCTTTGACTCGCTATCGCTCCTTTTCATCCACTTTCGATTCAGGGGTCAGTTCCACCTGCTAGGATATGAAACATACTAAAAAATATGCAACCTAGCGTAAAACCACACTTAACAGAGTACAAATGCACCAAATGTCTAAAGAAAACGATGATAAAATGTGTACAATTGGCCCCGAATCCCTCCCCTACACTTAGACGTTTGCTTGTCCCCAAGCAAACCATGTCCAAACAAGTTAATATTCCAACCTAACAAGATAACTTGGGGACATATCAAAGGGCTCAAAGCGGCGATTCTCAATGGCTATTGGGTATCAACACATGAACCGATGCAAGCAATACCGACATTCACCACAAACGACATTAAAATTGCATCAAGAGCGTGCAAATGAAAAGTTCTCACCCTGTTCTCCAACCAACACAAGTCTCGACAAACCTACTCACCAACCACAACTAACCGTGCATAGATTTCAAGTCCAAGGCATAAACGAAGGGGCAACATAGGACCTCACTGGGATATGAACATGCAAAACATGAATAATCACTCACTCACGACCAATGGGGTCAGGACCATTTGGTGCAAAAGATGTGCACAACCATCAACACTCAGCCCTATCGTCTCTTCACCACGGCGGCAACCACTAAATGCTAGAGTTCACGGGACGGTTGTCATCACTAGCTTGTCCGGAGGTCTTAGACACAGGTTCAAATGACCGATAATTGTCTTGGACATGTGGAAAATTCCTTTTTGGGTGGTGGCAAACATAGCATGAGATCCTATATCTTCAACCTAAACCCAAAGGTTCCATGGTTTCACTAGAACCTTTCCTACAATCAACAGCTACTATCAACGGCCAAAAATCGCTCTTCCCTTCTTCCAAACCACTACCAACCACGAACTACATTCAAGTAAACTTCCTCGGTCTATTCTTGCTATCCACATCTCAATCATGGTAGTGACGGAGGTTAACAAATACTTAGGTGTTTCAATGGCTTGAGTGTCAATAAACCCTATCTAGAGCATACACTTAGACTTTTGTGGCAACTCTCTATTTTTACTTACCCCGTTTTATTACCACTTTTTCGTTTTGTTTCCTTTTCTACTTTTCATTTCTTTTTATTTTCTTTTCTTTCTCTTCAGTTTTTGAGGGGGTACTAGAGAGTTAAACGTTTTCCAACTTAACACTTAACGAACAATGCTCTCTATTAAGGACTTCCTCCAACATTACCTTTTCTTTCCTAGCAAGAACCATGCAAAATCATTGTATGTAGAATCTCAATGGAGCTAAAAATGGAAAGCTCCGGGACATAAGGACGAATCACGTATCGACACGAAGAAAGAATGGGGAAGGGGTCGTTCTATTAATCAACGTTAAGCTGAATAAGCACAAATCTCCTAACATTAGAACGACCCCCAAAGTCACACAGCTCAAAGGGGTTGAATAGGGAATAAAATATTTCGGGGCAATCAACTTTTTGGGCGTGGACTAATCCTATGCCTCCATCATACTCACTAGTGACAACGGTGAATGTCGCTTTCCATGGTAAGAGGGATCTATCACACATGAAAAAGACGATCCTATTTAGGGTTAATACAATATTTTGGCCCGAATTATTATCATATAATCAACTTTAGCACGTGGTTTCAGAAATTAACATTCTGGTTTCAAAATTTATATATTTACAAAATAAGATATAAATTATATATTTTATTTTTGGATAATTTTAAAAATATAAACAATTTCATAATTTTTTTTAATTTATAATATTTATCACTTTCAAATTACCCAAAAAATAAAATATAAATTTATTTATGTTTTTTATAATTTATTTTTGGTTAATTTGATAATAAATAATAAAAATAAGAAACATAATTTTAATTTTAATTTTTTAAATAATTTTTAGGCTGACGAGCCAATGACATGGTGTGTTGACTAACGGTCAATTGTGTTGACTATCCAAATTGACGGCAAACCATGTGTCGGGCCAATTGAGTCTATATGCTGCATAGTTGAGGCTAGGATGTTAATTCTTAATCCACGTGCCAAAGTTGATTATATGATAAAATTTTGGGCCAAAATACGTATTAACCCATTTATTTATTATACTTCAAAAACCTGGTTCACATCATAATTCTAAAAGTAGAACTCTCAACTTAATTTAACAATCCTACTA